GCTATATAAATTGTGTATAAAATTGTGTATATAAAATCTGGAAACAGCCCACTCATCCAAGAATAAATGACTAGATAAATGGTACTATTGTGTATATGAGGTACATATACAAAATGGCCAGAACCAGCCACCACCCTGGTGAGACCACTCTCCACACGCATGAAGGTACCAGCAGAGGAACAAAGGCATGTGGGTCCCAGGGCTGAGATCTCCAAGCCTGCTCGGATCAGGGCTGAGCATCCTCCACCCAGATCCTCCATATTCCAGTAGGCAGGGGTCACACCCACCAACTGGCCCCCTGGCGTCGTGTAATCCCATTAACGGCCAAGACCCAGAGACTATAAAACCCAGCTCCCGGAAGCAAATGTGGCCGTGTGACATCCCATTATCTCATTCTTACTTTGGACAAACTGGCAGGCTACTGAATGTAAACTGCCCACATGGCAGAGTCTGGCAAACTCCCCATGGCATACCCAATATGCCAAATGCCAGTAACAATGATGGGTCTCATTCTCCTAACCCTGAAAGAGCCTTGAATATGGCACTTTTAAAAAAAATCTCGGGGCAATGATGAAAGAGACGTTACTGGGTCCTGCTTGAGGCAATCGACGAACAACAGGATGGTCATGATACCAAATGGAATATTACTTGGCCACAAGAAAACACAAGGTCATGAAATTTGCTGCTACATAGAAGAAGAATATAATGCTGAGTGAAGTTAGTCAGAGATAGAAAGACCTACACAGAATGATCTCTTTCGTTTGTGGGATATAATGAAACCTAATGGTGGAAAAATGGATAACCAAAGACAATGGAAACAAAGAACATGAGAGCTGGTGTCCACCAGAATACATGCCACTTGAGGGAACTCAAGAATAGGACATGAAGGGGGCACTTCGATGGAAAGCTTTCGACCTAGAGGAGGAAGTATGTGATGCTGAAAGGTGAAAGGTGGTAAAGTATTATGTATCAGCAACAATACTGTAAATCACATTGCAAACATGTATATTAAAAAGCACCTCTTGTGGAAGCAGATTGGTGAGTGGGAAGCAAATGGGTTAGGGGTAGGGAGTGAGCATTGTAGAGGGAAGTGGACACTGGTGAAGGAATCTGTGTTGAGACATTGTATGCCTGGAATCCAATCATAAATAACTTTATAATTTTATAACGATTAAATAAAAATTAAATTAAATCAAGTCAAATTTTAAAAATCTCTGCAAAGATCTCTCCAAAAAACAGAAATAGAGATCCTATATGACCCAGCAATATACTTTTTGGCATCTACCCCCAAAACACAAAACACAAAATAATTAATTCCAAGGGCCAGAATGATAATACAGTGGGTAGAGCACTTGCCTTGCGTGCAACCAGCCTGAGTTCAATCCCCAGCATCCCATATGATCCCAAGAGTTCAGAGTCAGGAGAAATCCCGAGCACCACTGTATATGCCCCCCTCCCCATTAATTTGAAAGTATATTTGTATACCTGAATTTATTGCTTCACTTACAATAGGGCTGGAGCGATAGCACAGCAGTAGGGCGTTTGCCTTGCATGCAGCCAACATGGCCAACCCGAGTTTGATTCCTCCGCCCCTCTCGGAGAGCCCGGCAAGCTACCGAGAGTATCTCGCCCGCACAGCAGAGCCTGGCAAGCTCCCCGTGACGTATTCGATATGCCAAACACAGTAACAACAAAGTCTCCAATGGAGACGTTACTGGGCCCGCTAGAGCAAATCGATGATCAACGGGAGGGCCTTTTTTATTTTACAATAGCCAAGATATGGAAACAACTGAAATGTACATCTACAGATGAATAAGTCAAGAAGTTGTGGTACAAAGACACAATGGAGTACTATGCAGCTTTAAGAAAGAACAAAATCAGGCAATTTGCAGCAACTTAGACGGAACTAGTGAATTTCATGCTGAGTGAAAACAATCAGAAAGAAAATCATGAATACAAAATGATCTCTCTCATATATGGGACTTAAAGATATATGGCAAGGTAACAATAAAGATCCAAGGGCAACATATGGGAGGGTTGATCCACATAAATATAATTGAATTGAGGAGGTTAAAGGGAGGGGTTTGGGATCCTTTCTCGAGGAAGAATAAGTACACTGGTGATGGAGAATCATGTCCATGAGAAGCAATTATTAGTAGCATTATAAACCATAGAATCTCAATTGTATAACTGAAACCCAAGCACAAAAATTTGTAAGTCTATAACTGTACCTCATGGTGTTTCACTAATAAAAAAAAAATTAAAACAAACTAACAAACAAAAAAAAACAGTCTCTTTGGGAGGAGTGTGGTGGGGTGGGGTATTGTGGTACAGCAGATGCTGTGTATGTGTCAGGCATGTGTTCAATCTTCAGAACTGTAAATTAAATAAAATTAAAAAGTCAGAATTAAACACATTTCTATCACTAAGTTGTCATAAGAAATTTGAATCTATAGTACTAATCAAATCTAGTTCAATGTGAGTAAGTAAAACTTCAATCTAGAAACCTCTGGCTCCATCAATCACATTCACCTAGTTGAAAAACAGAGGTAGAAATTTAATTTGGAAAAGATAATGGGGGTAATAAATTTGAAACCTATAAGTAAAAGGCTTTATTTAATGCCCTAATTTAACAAAACAAGGTTTTGCTGGTCATCAAGGACTAAAATGAAGGAAAACAGGTAGTTTTTGTCATGAAAAAATTTCTGGGGATTAGTTGCTCAACACTGTAAATAACGCTATTGAACACTTTAAAAAAATTGAAGTGGTAAATTTTGTATCATGCATATTTTATCACAATTAAAATAAGTAGTTCCACTTGTAGTATAACTTGTTCATGTTGATGATAGCAGCTCTAAACTGGTACTGTTTTTACCTTGTCAATTATTTGCTATAAATCAAGCCCACCTATATTTGATAAAATTTTTAATTTCTGTTATTTTACTAAATATGAACACGTGCTTCTTAATTTACTGAAACTATAGCTATAAAAAACTTAATTTCAGTTTTCGCTCTTAAAATCTTTCGTTTCACAAAATAAGAATGGAGGAGGTTTAGGGCCACACGCAACAGAAATGAGAGGGGTAAGGTCCTCTGGGCTTTGTGATAAAGGATCAAACTGTGGTCTGCCCAAGAAAGCGCCTTAATCCTGTGCTATCTTCCTGTCCAGCTTCATAAATTTAAAGTTCTATATAAAAAATGTTGCTTAATTTACTTTGGAAGGCATTTAAATATGTCATAAAATCAGTAAAAGTAAAGACTTATACACATGGGTAGAAGTATCACAGAGACAGGAGCTGTATGATAGCACAGTGGGTAGGGCATTTGCCTTGCACGCAGCCAACCCAGGTTCAATTCCCAGCATCCAGTATGGTCTCCTAAGCACCGCCAGGAAGCCAGGATTAATTCCTGAGTACAGAGCCAGGAGTAAACCCTGTGCATCACCGGGTGTGACACACACAAAAAAAATGGTTCTCAGTAAGGATTATTTTTGCAACACTATCCCCCATCCCCCCATCCCCCATCCCTACAGTTAGTATTCAGAGATATTTTTGTCATCCCATCTGGGGATGGGGTTGGATATGCTATTGATCTGGGGTGCCATGTTGCACTTCATAGGTCTTCCACGGGAAGAATGATCTAGCCTCAAATGCCGATAGTGCCAAGAATCTGAAATTTGGTGTTAGAATCCTCCTCTGACTTTAGTCATGGTCAGTCTTTGTAGCAGGTTTTTCCTTTTGAGTCTACACAATAATCTGACTTTGGCCTAGTTTTTTCTCCTGACATGTTCTCTTGGATAGACCACTCAGACCTGGACACCAATAACCATGTCTATGTTACTTGATGCCCACCTGTGTCTAGCCTCAACTATTCTTCGAAAGCATTTTTTATTTTGCTATATCTCTGCATTTTTCGTTAACACTGTATTATGTTTATTAATTGTATTAATATTTGTTAATTTGTTATTTAACAGCGATTTATTATTTTATTTATATTATGAACTATATTTTATTATATTAATGATAAATACTTATTTAATAATTTATTATTAAGTAACTAACCCTGGAAACTTGTGAAAACTAAAGTTAAACTACTCAAGTATTACAGAGCTTTTGAAAAGCAGAGGGGTATTTTTGTTGTTTGTTTTTAAGACTATTTTGACATTAGGTATTGAACTCCTTTAAAAAGTAGAGAGGATGATGTTGGCAAAGTGCACTCTAGTTTGCCAAAGCAGGGTGTATTTGAAATCTGTCTCAAATATGGAGGTCTAGCCTTTTCTTTCAAATCACATTGCATTCTCTTCGGATTACTACTTACCAAATGTCATAGAATATAATACCCAGCCCACCCCAAAGTTACTATTAATCATTATTTTCCATGCCTTTAGGAAAGAAAAAGAATAGTCATCAATTAAAGTGTGACACACCATTATTTGTCAAAGATTTCCTAGATTCTGAAACATGGGAAAAAAGCCTTCAAGGACTTCCAATTTATTAAGTATGATGAAAAAAGTAATCTTAGATTCTATGACGTACAGCGAATTAATTTTTTACATTAACTAGCTTAAAATTTGAATTTAAGCCAACTAACACGTTTGTATATTACTTTTTAAATAGTTTGTATATTACTTTTTAAAATACTTTTTAAAATGGCTCTGTGTTTTGCATCTGCAGGCCTATTGTAAAGCCCTTAGGTCTTCAATATCTTTTTTGTCTGCACCTGCGCTCATGCCTTTCCACAATTTATCTAGAATTCATCATTTAGGAATAAAACAGAATTTCTTACCTAATCTTAAAAGTGCATACATTGCATAAGAATCTCTATATAACTTTATACTGGAGAGGGAGCTGCAAGAGTGATGATGGAAAAACAAGCATGTATGTTTTTTAACTCTCACTCTAGTAGAAACGTTAAAATGGGTTCGGGTAGGGTACGCGGCGGAGGCGGAGAAGGGATGTACGTCTCAGGATACAGGAAATACGGTAAGAGCGTAACTGGGAGGAAGCTCTGTGCCTGAAGGGGACCAGCCGCCATCTCAAGTCTCTTGGCCTCGCCCGTGCCCACCGGAGAGAACTGACACCTGGGTCCTATAGTCCTTATGGGGGACCAACCTTGTAACTCCGGGAGATCCACGCTTCCGCCTGGAAGCTCGCGGGAAGCCAAGCCTCCCAAAAAACGCTGCCTTTTAGCTCCACGGTGGAATTATCCTGAAGGAACCCCCAACGGAGGTAGTACCCCTCTCCCCTCCGCACCGCCTCCTTCATCAGCGGGCCTGAAGTCGCACCCTGCTCCTCCGGAGAAGTAGTAGAATATACTTCTACTTAAACCAGGTCAGAGTCTTTATTTTGGTTATGGGACGTTCTGGCTTTCTGAAACTTACTCTTTATTTCTGCATATCACTCTGAAATTTCAAAATCTAAGAAAGACCGTGCAAGCATTATACAGCTTTCACAAAATATACATGGGAGAAATTTTTGAGACTTAATAATGTTAAGTATTTTTTAAAACAAGTTAGTTTTGATTATTGTGGCTACATATTTTAAGGAAATATGTCAAAATAATTTGGTCTGCTTAAAAGTAATTAATTGTGTCAGGTGGAGGCAGATGCAAATTTTCATGATCATTATTAAAGCTGTAATGTAGTCATGGAGATTTATTATACTGTTGTTATTATACTTTAGGGATATATTTGAAAATTTTATTATTTTTACAAATATTATTTTTTAGATCAGTAGTGACAGTATATTGAAGGCCTGGCACTGTGCTATCAGAGGGTGAATATGAGTGGTATATGGTATGGTGAACCTCCTGAGAAATATTTTTTTGTGCATAGTGAGAGAAGTTAACCAATAAAAGGTTAATAATGTGGTAAGTCAAATATAAATGCCATGTTTGCTTGTCAAGGAACTCAGGAAGCACTGAATATAGACCACGTCTTTTGACCTGGTAGTAATCATGAACTTTCAAATATTGAGGGGGAATTTCAGGTGTTTTTAAGTGATTGAGTGATAACTACCCTAGGGTGGGGCCTAGTTTTTATGGAACTAAGGCTCAAGGCAAGTTTGTTCTGGAAAAATCTTGGCTTGACTCCGAATCAATGAGAAGGGATGTAACAGTGTTGCAGATCCTTGAATGTTAAGGAGTATGCTTAGCCCACGATTATTGAAAATTAAAAAATTTTAAGAAAGTGATATGTTTTAGGAGTGCAAATTTTACTATCAAAGTAACACTCTACTATTTACATGGGTTCAGAAAGTGCAAAAAATAAAAGCAATTTCGACTCAAACCTCACAGATCTTTGTAATTGGAGGGAGACAACAGCTCTTCATCATTTATGCAATAAACCTTAATGGAACCTTTTTATTGAGTTAAGTATTGTGCTGAGAAATGTAGGGGCTAGTGCCTGGTGCATACTTGAAGTTATGTTATTTGAGAAAATCATCTATGAATGATAAAATGACACCTTTAAAAGTATTCTGGACTTTGGATTTGGTGTTCGTGTATCTAAAAGGAATGATCCCTATTTCACTGACAAGCATATTGCTATAATTCCTTTAAATCTGACTTCCCTCAACATTACTTCTTAATCTAAAGGAGCAGTGATAGTTGGGGCCATAGGGGTGGTGCACAAAGGGATAGCAATGCTTGGAAAACATTAGAGTTTAGAATGCTTAGAAAACATTAGTTTGTGTAGAACAAGAAGTTCAAGAGCTACTCAGTTTCTTCCAAATTATTAAAAATCATTGGAATTTGGGGCTGAAGTGATAGCACAGCCGGTAGGGCATTTGCCTCACACACAGCTGACCCGGATTTGATTCCCAGCATCCCATATGGTCCCCGGAACACTGCCAGGAGTAATTCCTAAGTGCATGAGCCAGGAGTAACCCCTGTGCATCGCCGGTTGTGACCCAAAAAAACCAAAATAAATAAATAAATAAAATCACTGGAATTTAAATAATAGCTAATATTGAACATTTTAAAGTGTCAAATACTGTTCTAAAGGACTTGCAGAGTCCATAATCCTTTTTATGGCTTTGTAATAGACCCAACTGTATTACTACACAGCTGCTTTACAGAAATAAGTAGTGGAATGGAAGTATGTTGTTACTTAAACACTTGTGGCCAGAGGATAGAGGCAGTAACTGAAAAATTAATTTCTCCTTACTTTTTACTGTTTTTTATTCTTTGCTAGATTGAAGTATGACTCCATTTTCTTGGTGCATTTTTAAAATAGTTCGTCCAATGAAGACAGTGATTATTGACATGCCATCCTGCTTTTTCTGATGCTCTGCACCTAGAAGTTGCAATTTTTAAGGTAATCACTATAAAAAATATTTAGGGAGTAGGAGAAATAAGTTTATTATGGCAAATCAAAAAGAACTAGCCAAACAGAAAATTTTGCCAACCTTATGATAAGATTGAATTTATTTCCTGCATTTTTTAATGTTTTCTAAAAATGTTTTTGTTTGTTTTTGGGCCACATCTGGTGTTGCTCAGGGCTTACTACTAGCTCTCTACTCAGGGGTCATTCCTGGTGGTACTCATGAGATCCCATATGCAAGTGCTCAGGGGACCATATGTAGTGCCAGGCATAGGACCTGGGTTGACTGCATTCAAGGCAAACCCCTTAATCTCTTAACTATCTCTCTGGCTCTCTACATTACCTAAAACCATACATACTATATAATAATATATACGTTACTGGGCCCGCTCGAGCAAATCGACGATCAACGGGAGGGCCTTTACCTTTACCTTTTACTAAATATATATACTATATAATAATAGTCCGGCAGAGCCTGGCAAGCTACCCGTGATGTATTTGATATGCCAAACACAGTAACAACAAAGTCTCCAATGGAGATGTTACTGGGCCCGCTCGAGCAAATCAATGAACAATGGGAGGACAGTGACAGTGACAGTGATAATAATAGTCTATAAACTATAAATTGTTAAATTTACTTCCAGTAACAATGAAGGGTCTCATTCTCCTAACTCTAAAAGAGCCTTGCATATGGCATTTTTTAAAAAAATCTCAGGGCTAGGACGAAGGAGACGTTACTGGGGCCTGCTTGAGGCAATCGACTTCTAATATAAATTGTTCTGTTAAATTTACTTCTAATTATCTAATAGATGCTGTTGTGTCTATGAAATGTATCTTTTAAAATACATTTTCTGATCATTTGTAGTAATTGGTAGCGTTACTGATATTTGTCTTATTGTTGTAATTGCTTTGTAGATTTTTTCGTTTCTGAATTTCTAAAATGTATAGATTCACATGGATTATTTGTTAATTATTTTGAATAATGACTTTTTTCTTCCTTTCCAGTATTTATTTTTTGTTTTTACAGTCTTTCTACTTACTATGATATTTAGTACAAGAAAAAAAGAGTAGCAGTACCAGAGAGATAGTACAGTGGGTAGGGTACTTGCCTTGCACACGGCCCACTTGGGTTCCATCTCTGGTATGCTATATGGTCCCCTGACACTGCCAGCAGTGATTTCTGAGTGCAGAGCTAGAAATAATGCCCAAGAAATTGTCTGGAATAGAGGCAGGGGAAGAAGTGGAATAGGGGGCCCGGAATATTGATATTGGAGACATTGGTGGTGGAAAATGTGCACTGGTGGAGGGATTGTTTTTCGATCATTGTATGACTGACACTCAAACTCAAAGCTTGAAAGTTTTGTAACTGTATCTCATAGTGATTCAATAATATATATATATATATATATATATATATAATGAAGGGGGGGAGAAATAGCCCCTGAGAATCACTGGGTTTGACCTCAAAACAAAACAAACAAATGGTTGAAGTGATGGAATTTCCTTGTTCTGGTGTTGGATTTTAGTAACGTTTTACCGTTTTAGTAGGTTTTCTTTTTCAGATTAAGGACTTTTTAAGTTTGCTTCTCAGCTTCTCATTCATTTTCAATGAATGTAGTTTTTTCTTTAAAAACTTTATCAGTACAGCAGGTTAGGTGGTTGTTTGGCACATGGCTGACTAGGTTTGACCCCCATCACCCAATAATGTCCCCTGAGTTCACCAGAAGTGATCCCAGAGCGCAGAGCAAGGACTAAGCCTGGAGTACCCCCAGGTGTAGTTCCTAAACAAAAACAAACCAGAAAAAAACACACTTTATCTAATAGAACCTGAGCAGTAGTGCTGTGGTTAGGGTGCATACCTTGTTCCCAGCCAGCCTGGGTTCCATTCTGCCCCTCACACCACCCCCTCAAATATAAATAATTTTTAATTGAAGAAATATAGATTTTTATTGAATGAAATTTACTTAGAAAAATGTGAGGGGAGAGAAAGAGTGGAAATAAGTGTTCAAGAGAAAACACAGGCTTTTCCAGTGTGGAAAAAGTAAGCAAAGAGACAGAGACATGCAAACAAGAAACATGTTCAAGGGAGAGCACAAGCTTGAAGAGCAAGCCAATAATTTTCAAAAATAAAAACTTTACTTACATAATAATAGAATATTTTTTCTCCAATAATATATGATTTCATGTTAAGTTGCCATCATACGTTTTCTAGTGTATTTCCTAATTTGGGTTTTGTCTAGGTTCATCATAGAATATTTTCTTATTTTAATAATTTTCCATTTTTCCGTGAGACTTGTCCATTTTTCATTATTATATTGGGACCCACACCTGGCAATTCCAGGGCTTACTCTTGGTTCTTCACTCAGGTATCAATACTGTTGGGGCTCAGGGCTTACTCTTGGTTCTTCACTCAGGTATCAATACTGTTGGGGCTCAGGGCTTACTCTTGGTTCTTCACTCAGGTATCAATACTGGTGGGACTCAGGGGACCATTTGGGGTTCCAGCCATTGATCCTGGGTTGGCTGGGTGCAAGGCAAGTACCCTACCTGCTATACAGTCTCTCCAGCTCCTAATGTTTATCTTAATTTTTCTCTACTTATTTTTTGTTTGCTCTTTCTCTTGTTTATTGATTTTGACTTTTAGCTTATCGATTTCCATTTTGTTTTATAAAATAACAATTTGATAATATTTTCTCCTGAATTATTTTTTAACTAATGAATAATTTCACTGTATCACTGTCATCCTGTTTATCGATATCCTCGAGCAGGCACCAGTAACTTCTCCATTCGTCCTAGCCCTGAGATTTTAGCAAGTGCCACATTAATGAATAATTTAAAATCATTTTAACTTTTACAAAGTGTACAATAATGAGCATCCTTTAAAAATTATTGTGAAACTATTAATCCAGTCATAGTTAAACTTTATTTTCTATTTCACTGCTTTATGTTTTTTTGATCCTCTTATAATAAAAAGCAAAATTATGCTGGCTCATCCCAACAAGTTTTAGCAATAGAAAACTTTTGTCTTTCGTTAAATATATAGGGGAAATGTAGTATGTCATTCAATAATGTAATTTTGGCTAATATTTATACTTGTGTTTTAATTTTTTAAACTTGTCTAATTCTACATTTTTTGTAGGGGATAGCAAACACATAGGTGATTAGGGGCTACCTCCAGCTGGTGCTGAGTGATGTCAGTGATGTCAGTGGGCCTCCATGGGTGGCATTTGTGAGGCCACGAGGAGAGAGAAAGTGACTTTCTCCGGATCCACCTCAGCCACCCCGAAACCCAGCTGGGAAGACAAGGACTAATAAAGTCTGCTATGAGCCCCTGCTCAACACAGGCTAGATGCCCCCCACCCCCACCAGGTGACCGTCAAGCCTCCTCGGCATGGGAGTTCATCCCCACCACCCGATTTCTCTGAGAGTCACACACTCAGGTTGGGATTGATGTTGGTGGGCCCCACTGGTGACCTATGTGAAGTGGGGAGGAGAAAGAAGATAACTTTCTCCCCATCTGCCTCTGCCACCCAAGACCCAGGGTTACTTGGTCTTGCCTCCCAGAAAAGAATTTCAGGAGTAGACAAGCAGTGAAGTAAAACAGATTTTATTTGGAGGTTTTGAAGGGAAGGAAGAAGAGAAAGTGGGAGAGAGTGGAAAGTAACATGCTCAAGAGAGAACCCAGACTTCTCCAAGGGCAAAGAGAGCCCCTACACACATCCCAGCAATAGTCATGAAAACATGAAAGTACGTATCTCAAGAGGGGAGACGCGGATGCTGTGAGATTTAACTAGGCTGTAAGAGTGGACTGGGGGAGCCAGAAGGAGAATGAAGGGGGATCCAGAAGGAGAATTAAGTAGGATGGGGAGGCAGAAGCAGAAGGGGAGAAGTAGAGGAGGAGAGTCAGAGGAGAATGGAGAGATTGGAATAAATGTCAAGTGAGAACAACCAAAAAAAAAAAGAGAGGAGATGCGGGCAACACATGTGTTCAGACACCACCTGTGCTTGGCCACATGGGCTCAAGCAGCATATGGGCTTGGGCAGCATATGCATGCCCTCCCTTTGTTCAAGGTGGCCTTTAAAGGGTTTCTCCAACCTGCCCCCTTGTGGGGCTTCTACCTAGGTCAAAGTCTGTTGCTAAGATGGTTGGGGTGGGAAGGGGGTTGGGAGTTGGGAATGGTGATAGTCTTCTTTGAAATTCCTTTCCTGGCCTTTTGTTACTGCTAGAGCTTCTCTGGGTCTTATCAGGCCTTAGTTCCTGTTTTATTCCTGTTTTCTGCAAGGTCAGCTTTTGCCTTTGCTTTGGAAGGGAGCCTGCTTACATCAGAAGGAGGTATTGATCTTTGCTGGAAAGGAAAGTTAGTCCTAGGCCTTAACCAGGGTTAGTTACCAGGTTGCCTTTCTTTCAGAATTTCTTTCAGAAATTCTTTCAGAAAAAATATCAGTAGCTGAGCAGTGAAGTAAAACAGATTTTATTTGGAGGTTTTTAGGAAGGGAAAGGGGGGAGGGAAAGTGAGAGTCTGTAATATGCTTAAGAGAGAACTTGGGCTTCTCCAAAGGTAGAGAGAGCTCCTACGCACATCCCAGCATTAAATATGGAAGCATGAAAGTACACATCTCAAGAGGGGAGATGTGGGTGACACATGTGCTCGGCTGCATGGGCACAAGCAACACATGGGCTCAGGCAGCATATGCACGCCCTTCCCTTGTTCAAAGAAGGTTTTATAGGCTTGTCTTGATTGTCTTGATCCAGGGGTTGTCTTGATCCGAATGTTCTGGAGTCTTCTTGGGGCTGAATCACTAAAGTGAATTGGATTAAGGGAGAGGTCGGAGGGTTTGAGAAATTTCTTGGGAAGGGGTCCAGTCTTCTCAGGGTCTGATGAAGGTCTCATCAGGTTTGTTTTCTGTATCCACAGTGTGGATCAGTCTTAGGCTTTTACCTCACAGAAGTTCTGTTGACCTAAATTTCCTTGCTGAGGACCTTTCCCTGTCTA